CGAGACATATTACAGTTTCTTTGGGAGACATGAGCAACCCTTCGGCAAAATTTTTGTTCAGCATATAATATCATAAGCCTTAAGAATGAATGCGAAGTATGAAGTATATTTAAAAAAATGTTTAAACCTTTTAATTATGTATTTTAAAACATAACTGATACATAATTAACTAAAATATAATAGTAAGACCTAAATACAATTAAAACTGTATCTCTAACTATAACATATTTAGCTAAGAAAAAAACTTAAGTGCTGTAGTCCATCAAGCAGCCAACAATACTATAATAAATTTCACGTACTCTGTGGTAAAGACTTGGTGCCAATTTCAAAATAACCATTGTTAGTTTATACTATAAAATGAGCTCTTTCTACTTGTTATATACACGTGTTTGTTACATCTACATGGAAGGGATGAAGCTCAAATAAGTTTGTTGAAAGTGGGTGTGGCAGTTGTCAGGGGTTGAAAAACTTTATTACTTGTTTTAACTGTATTCATTCAGAATAGTTTGAAAGGAACAAGTCAAAAGGGTATGTAAACATCTTAATGGCCAGATGTACCTCTACTCTATTACCATTGTATTATTGAAGATACAGAGAGCCATAGTAGAGTTTTAAAAGATTTATTTTGTAATAAAGGACTTAAAACTTGGATAAAATAAAACTTTGAACCATAACACATATTATAATATTAAATTCATTCACATACATTGATATTAATGGTGTTTAATTAAATCTTGAAAGTAAAACAGTGACTTGTGCAGAAAAGCATTTCAAGGGGCTCCCGTTGTGAAAGGGTTAATTTAAGTCAAACTGACTGCATATGTATAATACAATTTTTGAGTTGTAAATTGATGAGTCAGTAAAAGAAAATTAATTTTCAATTTAAAAAAAGAATGACAAAACATGAATGTTAACTTGATGTAAGAATCATCAGAGATCTCCTACAGTTGTAAATTTCATGTAATAGTTATTTTTATAAAGATAATTGGAATTGTTTGTGTGAGCCTGTACATCCATATTTGAAATTTTAATACATTATCAGTTTCTAGCAGTCTCTTGGATTAATTCTGCTACACACTAGTAAAGTACAGTCAATATTATGTATTAAAGTATCTTGCCTTCTACATTGAAACCTTTTTTTACATTGCAGGTAACAAATCACAACCAGTGGAAAACAGTTTACCAAAAAATGCATTTACCGTCATCTAACACAGCGTGTTCCCATCAGACTAAAATGGCATATAAAAGGTATTTCTTAAAAGTGTGTACTGTAACAACTGCAAAACTTTTTGTAGTCAACATTTTGCAAAAGATTATTTAAAATTCTAGTTATTGTCCACAAAAATTGAATTTTTTCTGACAGATTTCTTGATTGTGTATCTAAACATGTCAAGAATACATTAGTCTTTTACAAGTTCTATTTTCAGCTGTCCATGTAACTTTAGAATTTGTTATGTATTATGTTAAAGTTATGAAATTTTTTACTTATGTTCTTATGTAAAATGAAAGACAGGAAAATAATTTACATTGTAAACAAACTGACTTTTTACAAAACTAAACTGTTTATCCCTCTCGCTACAAGTAGATCAAAGTGTGCACGTCATGCCATTTTACAGAGTTACCTTCAAAATTTAATTAAACTACTTTATTATCAATGTATACAAATAAATTTGACATTAAAATTTCTTAATAAATCAAATTTTAATATTATACACATTTTAATTTTAATTGGGAAATATTTACATAAATCCTAAATCTCCCATATTGTGAGGATCATAACATTTGTTTTCTAGGTCTTCCTTCTCTAATTTATTAACTACCTCTTTCTGAAGTACATAATTTAGTGTAAATTACACAATAGAATATAGATATTACTAAGGCAAGGTCTAAGTTTTATAGCCTTCTATCTTATTAGTTTATAAAATGAGACCCACTGCCAATAATTCTCATTTATAGTCAATAGAAAGGCAGATTTTTTCTGTTGAATAATGTATCATGCTATATTGTTTTCAGTACAGAGTATCGTTAATTTCATCTTAATTTTAAAGTTTATCTTGTAGGGGTTCAGAACAAAAGCATTAGGGAATTTATATAAGCCCTTCTTGTCTTAGTTAGAAAGCCAGTTAAACTATGATAGTTACTAGACATTGTTTGCTTTGTGAATGTTATTATTATTTATTCTTAGGTGCATTATTTAGTAAATAAAAGTTATTTAGTGTACTAGTACCATCAGTATTGAAAAAAAAAGACAAGTTTCATTGGCAACCAACACTAAAAGAAAACAAAGTCAAAATAATTTTTACTGTTGTTAAGAAATTGAATAATTTTTTTTTAAGGAAAGTTTAATTTGTTATACCAGGAGAAAATTATTATAAAATATAAAAGTTGCAGTACATCTAGTTATTTCATTGAAATGTCTTGTTTTCTAAAATACTATTTTATGTTCCTGTTAACATGTAATTACTGTCAGGGTGCTTAAAGCCATCATACATTCTTTTCAGGTGTTTACTTAAATCATTTAAGTTGTTTGAAATCAGCTAGCTATCTGCAAAATTTGTCATTCTTAATTATAAGATATGCTTTAAACATTATGCCTATAAGTCAAGGTTTGATGGGATGTAATTAATATCAAGGCTTATTAAATTCTAAGTATTACAAAAAATTATGCAAACTTGACTGTTGAAAAACTTAAATAAGACATAATTACCATCTGTGGATAATTTTCTTAGTTTTAAAGAATGGAAAAGCTTTCCTAGAGTTTTTGAATGTTCCCCATGTTATTTTAACAGAAGGATGGTTGGATTTGTTATTTATAACAGAACACTACTTAACAACTTATTTATTGTTTATTTCCTGAAGCTTGATGAGAATCAACCAATTACAAAGCCAGAATTAAAAGTCTATCTGTTTCAATATACAGAGTATTGTAACTTTTCATGCCAAAAAAAAAACCCTTCAGAATTATTCCATTTTTATATTGATAAAGGATTTAGTACCAGAGAATCTTAATTATAAAACATCTGAAAGCCCTCCTTATAAAAAACTTTTGGTGAACTTAAGTGGTTGACATTTGATTTCTGAAATATTGTTTTTTTTATAATAAAAAAATTGTTTGTGTTTTAGTGGAATAATACAATTTTGAAAAATAATATTTCATTGTTTTAGCCATTTTTTTTGCAATGTTTATTACTCTACATTGGAATTTTCAATAGAGCTCAAACATTTTTATTGTGCTCTCTACAGATGTGATTATTCAACTTGCATCCCTGTTACTTAGGGTATTACTAAATTATTCTTGGCAATCAAAATTTATAATTGAATGACCAGAAATTTTAGTTTATGGTAAATAGATCGTTAAAACATGTTTGTCATAATTAACTTGTTTTAGGTATAAACATTGTTTGTGTTATGTAGTTGCAAATTTTAATATCTAAATGTGAAATTATTATGATGTGTCTATCAAGATCTTCATCTTCATGCTACATATTTTCCTTTTTAACACCTTTTATATATGTGTAAGAGCAAGGATCGATACTGTATAGGGAGAAACAACTTGAAGTTATAGGAATATCTTCAAAACTTTTGTGTAATGTATATATGTGGTGTGGATGCATCTTTTGTCTTAACAAGGTATTTAGTTTGTATCTTCCAGTGACTAAATTTTGTCAAATAAATTGAAAATGAGGAATTTGCAATTTAAGGGTGCATTAATTTCTGGAATATTTTCCTATTTGAGCACATAACTATCTGTAAAAAGTAACTTTTCCCAATTTAAAGAAATTCTCTATTTATAGCCTATGTATTTCAAACTTTTTTAAGGTACCTACAAAGCTTTGAGGATTTTTATCGTAAACTTGGTTGTACTATGGTCTCAAATCCCAGATCTTCACGTGTTAGACACAGATCTGAACGAAGTTTTTTATCTGTTCGCTCAAAAGAGAAACCTATACCTACAGTCAAAGAAAAAGGTCAGCGGAGGAGTGTGAGTGGTGAACAAATTAAAAAGGTTTGAATATACTATTACCTTTGTAATTTTACTCAAAGAAATATAATGTGTTAGTCTGATTGACTTGTTAAATAACTTGAACTGTTGGTGGCACAACCTTGAAAATGGTCTAAATTTTATTGGAAACTAAAATGTGTGTATATATATATATATCTTATTTTTCTAGAGTTAAAAATAGTTGTTTTATAATAAAGACCAAACATCACTTAAATAAGCGTATGTAAACTAAGTTCATTTGTGTGAAAAAAAAATTTAATTACTGTTCTCATATATGAGTAGCTGAAGATTAAAGCTAGTCAATTGACACACAAGTTGAAATTTTGCTAGTTAGTAAGAAGTATATAGATCAGTAATGGTTAACTGTGAAAATGGACTGCAGAAACAAACATTTTGTAATTTTTTTGTAAAAGCAAAAGTGCGTATCCAGGTTTCTTAGAATTAAGTTGGTGTATGATTGTATGTATAGAGCTACATAATAAATGATATAATTATAAAAGAATAATGCTTTTCATCTTATAGAATGTGAATGTTTTCTTTATATTACACACTTAAATTTTAACTGAGCAGTCCTTCAAATGCTCAGAAGTTAGGTGAAACCTAGCTGTGGGACTCTGGTTGGACAGCTATAAACTAGATCATTATGTGAAGACCATGCATTGATCAAGGACATACGTGCTTTCCGCAGTTAAGCAGTGATAATCATATACATATTTTAAAAGTTCTGATGTTAATTTTATATCACATAACAGCTGTTATGTTTAATGTTTTCAATATTGCACATAATTTCTAATTTACTACTGGTTTCATTCAAATGCTTTTTTGTCTGTGCTTTCCATGTAAATTTAGTAGTGTGTTAAATGCTAACTGTTATTTTACACTCTGAGGAAGGTGTTTTTTGACATTAAGGTATAATCAAATTACAGTTGTTTTCAAACAGATGGTTGTACCTAAATACTTAATATCGTCTTCAGTATTTTCCTTTGTTTACTTAGGAAAAAGAATCTTCTGAAGAAAAGGATATTAATCAGGTGAATAAGTTGCCCTCAAAATCATCTAAAGATGATGAAAAGCAAGAAGCTTCCAGACCTCAGACTAGAGAAGAGGTCAGAAGAGCCAAGTCTTTGAGTCCAGATAAAAAGGAAACCAAAAGTAGCAGCAAAAAAATAGATAAAAAAGGTATAGTTGTACAGAAGAAATCCATCAAAAGTAGTGAGAAATACCCAAAAACTGATAAAGATCCAGCTGGAGAAGCTTTAAAAGAGAATAAGGTTTCAGTGTCTGATACAAAAGACTGTGTGTCAAAGAAAAAAGCATCTGGACAGAAGCAGAAAAATAAAAAAGTAGACAAACCAAAAGCAACAGAAGAAACTGTAAAAGTAAACAAACAGAATAATCTTGAGTTAATTATAACAAATGATTCAAAAAAAAAGAAAATCTTGGACGAAGAAAAAGGAAAATTATAGATTCTGACAGTGTAAGTACAATTTTATTAAATCTTTATTCCTAATTTTATGGAATTGCTATGCAAATCTATTTGTATATACAGCACAATACATTTTTTTAGTGCTATGCTCACAACTCTTGGATTAGGTGACAAGGTATGAATTCAGTATGCAAACAGACATATATAATCACTGGTAAAGCTTGCTGATGACATTTCAGGAAAAGTCTGTAAGATAGTAGAAAGTCATGAAATCATTTTTTCTAGTTTAGTATTTATTTAATTTTTTATCTGTAACAGGTGTTCAAAAAGAAATGGTAGTTTTTCCTGTATGTAGAAATGCCCAGAGTACTCAATAGGCATAATACAAATATGCACGCTACAAAATCAACAATGACAGAGCATTTTACTTTAAAAGAGGATTGCCATTCACTTTCATTTGTTTCTCTACCCAACAGGCCCAAAAAACAAGGCAAAAAATCATCGCTAAGATACCAGAAAGTTACCAACCCATCAAATTGTTCATCTTTCTTCTTCTTGTTTCAGTTGAGATAACTCTACAATTACCTTATCACTAACATCAGTTTAAACCTAAATCCACTCTATGTGTTTCTGGGCAATGCACAATGTCATTGCTTTGTCATAATAACTGGTAGTAATTTTAAGAATCATAATTCTAGTGTGAATGATGTTATTACCCCTTGAAGCTAGCTTTTTTACAGAAATATGGTGTTCATATAGAAAACTTAAATACAGGGTGAAACAGGAATTACCAGCCAAT